CCACACAGCGTGCACACCCTGTGCACCCACACCCCTCACGCACTCACCCCCCCACCATGCACACGTGCTAACCCCCCCTGCGTGCGCATATGCTATGCACACATGCACGTCACCCCCATACACACCATGCACACATACACACCCTGCACACTCCCCATACACACACCTTACCCACACATGCATGCACATCCCTGCTATGCCCCGCACACACGCCATGCACACAAATGGACCCCCCATGCACCATACATGCACGCACACATACCATGCATGCACCCCCCACACACAAGCACCCCTCCACTACAACCCTTCCCCCAAACCATACAACCCCCCCATGCACACCCACACCTTACATACACACACCAGGCATGCATGCTTGCACACACTCCCTACACCTCCCCCCCACACACATACAGCATGTACACACCCACACCCTACACACCCACCCTACACACGCACACCCCATGCCCCCTTCCTCCCCACAGAGGCGCAGTGCTGTCTGTCCCTGCCATCTGGCTGCTGTCTCTATTCACGCCCTTGCAATAATGTCACTGGGGCTGGCTGTGCAGCAGTTTCTCGGAGAGGCTGGAACCATGGGCGAGGCTCCCCCTTGAGCTGGCTCTAGATAGGGTTAGGAGCAGCCCCCCCCCACCTGTAGTGAAGCCAGCTGAGAAGGGCAGTGCCTGTGCTGGGGATGTCCCGGGTGGCCTGGATGCAGGGTGGCTTGGGGACAGGAGTGTAGGCAAGCCCGGCACCCTCTGGGGCTCTTATGTGAATGTGCAAGGGAGACACAACTGGTTCCTGCTCTCTCATCACCTTGGGTTGCTCACAGAGATGTTCATTTCTTCTGGAAAGAAATGTGTCTGAGCCTCTGCCTTCAGTTCCCAGTAACCCTGTTCCCCACCGATTTGCAATGCATGGCATCTGCTTTCTTCCCATTGCAGCCTGAAGGCTGTGGGAATTTCACCTGTCAAACCAAACTTCTTTTCTCTCTCTCTCTGATGTGCACTTTGTTCTGTTTCCCAGATTGGTCACAATGCCTTTTGTCCTGTCCTTCTCTTTCCTCCCCCCCACCCCTATTTTGCCATCTGTCTCTTATGATTTATCATAGGGGGGTGGGGGGAAAAAAGTTGTTTTGTTAGAAGTCCAGGTTAGAAGTCATTGTATAATTTGTAGGCTTTGTAACCACTGAATGCAAGCGTGGAAATTTAGGCTGAACTCTCTAGCAAAAGGGGGGGGGGGAAATGTCGAGGAAAAAGGGAAAAAAATCAGGAGGGAGGATTGCCTCATGCATTATTTATCTCGACCTTTTAGGGGATGAGGAACTCCCCCAGTCTTTCAAGAGATTAAAAATAAATCAACAGACTGAACACCCAAACAGACACGGAGCATTACAGCGATCAGCCGCGCACGTGTTCCCATCTATTTATTATAAAGGAAGATTTCATGGGAAATATGTATTTTTTGTGTATATTTTCACAGAGTTTATTCTAGTATGTATTGACCGCTGAAGAGCAACTTGTGATAAAAAAAATATAAATAAAGGATCTAATTTTCATAACTTTTGGCTGCCTGCTGCTCGTGTGTGTGTGTGCATGTGTGCTTGTTTTAAATGGTTTACAGTCCATCTGGCTGGAACCTGCTGGGGAAAGCTTGTAGCTGAGGTGAACACCATTTGAAGGGCCAGCTTTGTGAGACAAGAGTGTCCTCAGCTCTCAAGAAAGTCAGTTTAAAGTAGGTGCTGTGTTCTTGGCAGGACCCATATTCAGAGCCCAGAACCACGTGTACATGTGCGTGTACACCTCCAGAGAAACTCATGGTCAAGCGTGCCTTGAGCAAGGGACACTTGTTTGCCCTGTTCCCAGTCCCAGCCCTGAGTGCATTTCACTGGGGCTACAGCAGTGATTCACAAGCAGGGTGCCCTGGCACCCTTGAGATCCTTTCCAGGGTGCCACACAGTGTGAGTGCTGAGAGGTGTGCGAACATGATTCACAAGATAAACCCAGAGGCATCCAAAAAGAATCCACAGGGTCAAAAACATCCTGCCCTCTTGGGATCTGAGATCTTTGCACCAGAAAAAAAACTGCTCTGGTCTTTTTCTGCAGTCAGAGAAGGAGTGAAGACTAAGAGCTAGAGTTTTCAGAGGGGGGCCTCCAGTTTAAAAGGGTTGAGGACCACTAGACTAGGGGAAAGGTTATGGAATCAATTGTAAGCAAGTAAGGATTATTATTATTATTCCTAAAGCCAAGAAAAATGCCTCTTCAGCCACAAGCATAGCCTCTGTTGGAGAAGTAAGGTGCGGCAGGGAAGGTATAAAAGTGAAGCAGAAACCAGCCCCTGGTCCTCTTCTGTTGAATCCAGAGCTGAGCTGCGCTTAGATCCTGTTGCTCAGGTGGCTGCTGAAGGGAAGCAAAAGTTGCCTGGAATGGAAATCAGCTGAAATGCTCTGAAGCTTTCCCCTGTGCTCTGTGCCTAGCCTTTCCACACAGAAGGCAGCGATGGGACCCAGTCGGCCAAGCCCAGTGAGATCCACCCTTCCAGCCTCCTCTCTGCCTCTGTTGGGAGACAGAAAACAAATGGTGATGGGGAGAAGCCAGTGTGTGCACTGAAGAGAAGACAGCCCTCTCCCTGCCTTTCCCAGGGGCATGCAATCACATGTGTTCCTGACTGGCACCTCAGCTGGATAGGACTGTGCATCAATCAGCAAGTCACCCTGCACTGTACAGACACGGTTCACCCTGAGGACCTCTGCTAGCAACCTTATTGCAATGTAGACACCAACCTTTCCCTCTGTGCTGCAACATGTCAGCCCAGGACTTGACACTCAGACCATTTAAAACGGTCCTGCTTCTCCTCTTTTCTTGATTGTCCCTGGAAGAGTGAGGGAGTGGGTTCAGAATGGCTACTGCTTGAAATACGTCTGTAACAAGTCAATTAAGAGCATCACAGCTTAAAAGCCAAGCCATCACTTTATGTCAGGTGTTTGAAATGCCTTCTGGGCAAGCACACAGATTTGCTTTTCCTCCCCACAGTTTACAGGGAGTTTTATTACAGATGTCCAGCTGCCCATGGATCCAATGTGTTTGTGGACTCTTTTTCAGGGCATCCAGTATGCTCAGAGGAAACAGACCACTTGTGCTGTGCAGCTGTCCCAGTTGGCAAATCGCTGATGTCTAAAGGCAGCCTTGTCTATATTCTGGGCAATGGATACAACCCCATTTATACCATGCATCCCTTTGCTGTAATCCTTGCCACTCATCTCTTTAAGCTCTATCAAGGACGTATCTATTTAAATACGTTTTACATATCAACATTGTTTTTTTCTCCCTAGGGCCAAAAAATTCTCCATCACCCCATCTCCCCTCTTGCGGACTCCTGTAGAACTGAAAATGTTGCCACCTCAAACTTTTTGTCAAAGTGAGATTCTAGTCCAGATGAGCAGGGGTGGAAGACTCCAGCTCTAAGGGTCCTGATACAGGTTCAAATGCAAGCTGTCTAGAAACCAGCCTTAGAGTTGTTACACATATTCAAGCACTAACTTTATAGCTGGTTGGCTCTCTACAGCTGGTGAGTCTTTTTTTTTTAATCAAGTGGTAATTACTTTGCATGTGTGACTGGTCTAAATTTATTGCACAATGAACCAGTTAATTGTGTGATAATTACTTTGCACTTGTCAGTCTAAATTTATTGTGCAATTAATTGCATAATATGGAATGTCACAGGGGTTTATGTGATTATTTGAATATGAAGATTATGGCTGGTGACCTATACCATGAAGTGGCCTTTGGATCTTTTTTGTGTGCTGCCTTGACTTTTACTTATGCCTGAATATATATATTTTTTTTTTCAAAAGAGAATATCCCCACCCTCCCCCAAATTTCTATTTGAATGGATCAGTTTATGAAACCATATTATTAGTAGGATAATACTCCCAAGGCTGTATGTGACTCCAAGGTTAACTGTTCTCTTAGGTAAATAAATACAACTAGGAAAATGGAAAGGCAACTTTGGATTTTTGAAAAGAGGTCTGTCAAATATTTGTTTTTTCTGAGAGCCACTGATGGAAGGGTTACAGCGCTCAAACTTGAAGGCAAAATGAAACAGGCACCAAATAAAATTTAGCTGCCAGCACTGTGGCTACTAGGGCTGTGCTAAGCTTCGGTAGCTGATTTGATTAGGAGATTTGGCTTGATTTGGCGGCCGAATCTCTGAATCCAAATCGAATTGGGAGACCAATTAAAAGGTCCGAATGGAATTGGGAGCCTCCAAATCAATTCGGAAAAGATTTGGCACCACTTTGGAGATTCAGCCATAGACTAAACAGGCAGCAGTCCTCACCACGCTGGATATAGCTGCCTACAGCTGGTAAGTCTGTTGTGGTGGGTGGAGGCGGGAGGGAAGGGGCATGGGTGGGCAGATCAACGCCCCCACATTGAGGGAGGGATTGGGGCTGGGACAAACTGCCCAGCAGGGGTGCAGGGGGGCACAGGACTCGGGGAGGGGATCAGGGGGGCACAGGATGTGGGTGAGGCAGCGCTGGGAGTGGGGCCTATGCCCTGCTGTCACTTGCTGAGCCAGGGCGGGGGGAGGGAGGCTGTCCAATTCAGGGACTGAATCTCCGACTCCAAAGCAAGTCGGGAAACCAGTTAAAAGCTCTGAATTGATTCGAAGCATCTGAATTGAGTTGGAAAAGGATTTGGAAATGATTTGGTGATTAGGCCATAGACTAAACAGGGAGCTGACACAGTTGCCTCCAGCTGGTAAGTCTGTTGGGGTTGGGGGAGTGGGGAGGGAAGGGGCATGGGGGAGGGAGGGATTGGGGCTGGCTCGCTTCAGGCGGAAGGGGGCAAGTGACAACAGGGCATACCCCCCACTCCCAGCACTGCCGCGCCCCCCCCCCAGCCCTGGTCAGGGGGCACAGGATGCAGGCACTGCCACTGCTTGCCCAGCTGGGCAGGGGGTGGGGGTGTAGGATGCTGGCACTGCCGCTGCTTGCCCAGCCAGGGCAGGGGTGGGATGTAGGCTCTGCCACCACTTGCCAGGCCGAAGCAGGGGGACGCAGGATGTGGGTACTGCCGCTGCTTGCCCAGCTGGGGCAGGGGTGGTGCAGGATGCGGGCGCTGCCACAGCTTGCCCAGCCAGGGTGGGCAGTGCGGGATGCTGGCATGGCAGCGCTGGGAGTGGGGCCTATGCCCTGCTGCTGCTTGCTCCCTTCTGTCCGGAGTGAGCCACGCCTGCATTGCACCCCTCCTCCCCCAGCTCCGGCTCGGCAAGTGGCAGCAGGCCATAGCCCCCGCTCCGAGTGCTGCCACACCCATAACCCATGCCCTCCGTCCCCCTCCCTGAGTCCCATGCCCCCCTGCCCTGACTGGGCAGCTTGTCCCAGCCCCAGCCCCAATCCCTCCCTCCCTGTGGGGGCCCTACGCCCCTTCCCTCCCACCTCCATCCATCACAACAGACTTACCAGCTGGAGGCAGCTGTGTCCCGTGTGGTGAGAGCAGCTTCTATAGCCGAATCTCCAAAGCGGTGCCGAATCTTCAGATCTAATTCAGCCAGATTACATTGGGACAGTGATTTGAATCTCCGAATCAAACCACTGTCTCTCTGAATCGGCTGAATCCGAAGCAAATACTTGCTGCTTTGCACAGGCCTAGTGGCTACAGCTGAAGGAGAAGGATGGGAGGAGAGATACCTGAGCTGCTTCCCTCTCCTTTTATCTGCTTTGAATGGTGTTGCCCAGAAGAAGTGGAGAGCAGCAGCTTGACCTCTAGTCCCAGGACATGGGTCCAGGGGTTAAGGCCCCCTGTGCCCAGAGGAGCAGGAGAAAGGCACTGAAACCAGATCAACAGCTGTCACACACATCCTTCAGGTATGAAACATACTCAAACACATGGCATTACAGAGAACAACTCACCCTGGGTGATCTCAGTCCAGAGACAGACACAGCACGTAGGAAATGCATGGAATCTGTGATAGGTCACAGACATGGGCCAAAGCATCCAGGGCTTTAGGCTCCTTTCCAGACCCCCAAAGCCATGCTCTCAGCAGTTAGCATAGCCCTAGGAGAAAGAGAGATCTGATAGACGTAGGAGATAATAACAGACATTCCTGGTTTTGTTTTCACAAAGTGCTTTGTGGTTGTGGTATATGTGCAGGGCTGGAGAAGTCAGTTTTTAGGCCTCTTTGGATTAATGGCTGCCTCTGAACACAGGTTACTGGATTCAATGACCCCTTACGCTCTTATGTTCATATGAGACAGGGAATCCAATTTAAATATTTTAAGGCCAGATCTGTACTAACTCTGTAAATCTTGGGTAACTCTAGCGAGATCAGAGAGTCACTCCTGATTTACACTAATGTGACTGATGAAATCACATGTCTTTTATTATCTTCATCATCATAGACCCTGGAGCACTTCAGGACTTCTGGGTATAAACACCTGGAAATCATTAGAAAGGGGCCAATCGACACCAACCAGTGGATGCTTTTGAATGTATTAATTGAATAAAATGCACAGCCCATGAATCTGTCCAATGTCACAAGATCCTGGGAGCGTGAAACACGGCCCTTAAAACACAGTCCCCAAAGAAAAAAACGTGTGAAAAGAGAATTAGTGAAATTAGGTTAGCCCCATAAAAATGTGCGGGGTTCCCCCTCCTTCCCTCCAGCCTTGGGCTAGAAGTGCTATCTGGCCTGATCTATTGTTTCCCACCCTGGCAGGGGAGTTATTGTGTGATAAATAATTCCTTTAAAAAAAAAGTGGACATTTGCATAATCACTGCTTTGAAGTGGCCAGCAATCTGAGGCTGGGTCCCCCAAATCTGCCATTGGCCAGAAGGAACAAAACAAGAGCCACTCTTTCATGGCCCTGACAGTGTGTGGGGCAGCGCGTCAGGACCAGCTTTACTTTCTCTCTGTCTTTTAATGATTAAACTCCAGGAATGTGAAAAAAGAAGACAGGACTCCTCTCTCTCACTTTCCTTTAACACCGGGCCAGCAGATTCCATTGTCCTTCTCTCAAATTCACTTTTAAAAGGCACTGTAATAGGTGCGTTCATATCCTTCCCAGCCAAGATTGATCATTTTACTTTCTCCTTGATAATTAAAGGGTTTGTGTGAAACTTAGTGTTGCTACCTTGCAGGTGTGAGGGGCAAAGCTCCAAGCCACTTAGCACTGAAGTATAGCTTTCAAGTGCTGAGTAAAAGAGTGTGGTACTTGGAGCAGAACATGTTTTCTTTCTCTTTATTTCAGGATACAGGTTTCTTTTCTTCAGTGCCTGGTTCATTCCTAACTTTTCTATTAGGAAGAACGGGAACAGCTCTCACATTACTGGGAATGGCAGGGTGCCACCTTAGAGACTAACTTGTTCAAGGTGTTACCCTGCTCTGCCTTCTGCTTTGGGCCGGAAACTAGAGACAGGTCTCTCAGAGGCAGTCACAGGTTCTGTTTGGACTGGAGTTGGTCATTAAGGTGGATCTGTGTGAGCAAATGTATAGGTTTGAGTGGAAACAATAAAAAAACCCTCTGTGTCCTCCAGGCAAACCCATGTGAAAACATGGGAAATTCTACAGAATTTCATATCACATCCAGAATATAAAAGGCAGCTCAGCTGAGAGAAGTCACTGAACCAAACTGGGAGAAAAGTGGGGGAGTTGTTCCATAGTGTCAGAAGAGTTTGGATAGTCTCAAACACAGTTAGAGAAAGCTATTCATTCTATGGCTCCTGGGGAGGAAGAGGGATTTCCTGATTTAAGAGAGAGAGACACAAATCCATTACACAGAGCAGGAGTGGAGGATGTGCTAGAGAGGCCAATCCTCTTTTGCCTGCTATGATGGGGAAAGGAATCTGGCTTGACCCCGTTGACGTGCATTATGATTGTTGAAGAGCTTCTCTTGGTGGAAAAGGGGGAGGTATGAGGTTATTGAGACTTACTCGTTTCACTTGCATTCCCGAGTCATCCAGCCGTTCAGAGCCTGAAAGGAAATGTCTGTTTTTATTATTGGCCAAACACAATGTAAGGATCTCTGCCCAGTTGCACAGGGGGAGGGAGGACACATCATCCACTCTGCTCTGTCAGCCTCTGCCACTCACTCTTACAAATTCAGGTCTGCTCCTCCCCAACCCCAAGGGCCTGAACAGGGCCAAAAGCCAGCAGGGCGTGTGCCTGACAGCAGCTCATGTTGCAGCGAGAGCCTCTGCCTAGCCTGGGAACTTGGGACTTCATGCAATCTTTGCTCAAATGTCCCAGATTCACCTGTTTGCTACTTCATTTTAAAAGACTCCTGAGATGCCCCCTGAAGTGCATGCAGGACAAGAACAAGGCCCTGACAATGAAGTACTACCTCTAAATGGTACTAAACACTTCCATTACCATCTACCTTACAGAGGGACCAAGATGGGACAGACTGGAAGATCTTCAATGCGTTTTGCTAATTAATACAAGCATTATTAATACAAACATGAATTAATACAAGCATTATTAAAATATACATGAGAATCCCACTGTTAGGAGTGGGAGTCCTTATTTCCTAATATATCTACCTCCCCTGTTTTTTGGGGGGCAAATCCTTAAAAAAAACCCCAACCAAACAAAAGAGGCTATTAATCTGTTCATGACAACTAATTTTCAGATGTGCAGAGGACTTCTAGCCTTCATGGGCTTCAGCAAGAGTTGTGGGTGTTCAGCACCTCTGACCACCAGGCTCTGAGCCCATCAAGTGAAAATGGGAGTAGATAGAGGACGAAGGGGTGTAAAAGGGAAAACTGTCCCTTCAAAATAAGTGAAAATAGGGGGCTGGTTTCCATAGCAGCATCTTGCCATAAAAGCTTAAGTCCTCATGACAAAGAGGCCATCTTCCCTTTAAAATGTGTTTATGAGCCCTTTGTGTATTGTATTTTGGCATAAAAGCTTCTCTGCGCTGTCAGAACTCAACGGGCAGTTCTATGACTCTCAAAGGGGTTTATTGCCCTCCTTGGCATAAGAATAGTGACAAGAAGCCAAACTAGTACCAGTGTGACAAAAGCGTAACCCCAAGGGCTTGCATTTGCTTTCTTTCATGTAACACATAAATCTTGCAACATATCACCATAATTAAAAAGAGTGTTCCTGACACAGCTATAATTTGACTGTAATTTTAAACAAAGATTTCCCCCCTCCCTCTTGGACAAACATCTATAAGCAAAGATAGAAAGTGGGGCTTGGGTACAGGAAGAGAGAGCGCTGTTGATTACCTTCTTCTCTACCCCCACTCCATAGAGAAACTGATCAGATTGCAAAATTAAATATAGCATGGAAAAAAGCTGGATAAACTGTGCATTCAATTCATGTATGCTTCCTTGGGAAATCTGAATGTATATGTAGGCAGCACATGGCTTAGGCTTAGGAATGACAGAAAGAAAGCTCCCCAATATTGGAAGTTTATTCTCTATTGATTCTGTGGATTTGTCTCTGGACCTTAGTGGTAACTTAAATGTGGTTATTGTCACATCACTTTCCTTACGGTTGAGGAATTTGTTTTGCATTCTTGAGTTATTATTTCATTCCTTTATGAGCCTGATCTTGCATTCCCTTTATCTTCATTCCAACTGAGTTTCTGATACACAAAGAATATAAGATTGGGTGTTATTTTTACTCTTATTATGTCATTTTTCTAATTATGTTACCTATCATGATGATATAATTTGACATTATGCCAGTGAAACAAGTAATCACATTGTATTTGAAGCAATTAGATTAGGTGCTTTAATGGTGTTCATGTTATTGCAATGTATACTGCAATAACAGTGTTATGCATGGTTTTTAACATTTGATATCTTGGCTGCTTCATAATTTAGTTTTTAATTGAAAAGGCTAACCATTTGGGCTTTTGATTTGTACAAGACAATATATGGAAAGCTTAAGTAGAAGTAGTGCTTCTCTAAAAGCAAACGTATTCTGAAATATTTTTGTAAACTCCTATAAGGTTGGATATGTACTGTACAAATTACTTTTATAATTGTTTAGTGACCCCACAAAGAACTGGACTGATGTTGAAAATTCAGGTAGATTCTCAGCTCCGATGGGACAAAAGCACATGTGGAAATCTGCACACATGGGGAGTTCTTTTGGCTCAAATGCTGCATGTGAAATTCCATATGCATAAAAATCTGAGGCTCTTGATGAAACAGTTGATGCCACACAACAATATATGCCTGATACATGGAACAGGGATGAAATATACATGAACTACATACAATTCAGCAGATCCCTTACAGTTGTATCTCAAAAAGCTTTATGGAGTTCTTGGAAGCAGAAATCCAGTTAAATAGTTAATAAGGCAATGATGCCACAAAGATCAGCTCAGATATTTAAGTCAGTGTAAGTACTGACGGTTTGTAAAGTTAATCCTGTTAATGATTCCTGCAGGAATGGGAACTAAATAGCCAAATAGCAAGTAATAAGCGGGAAAACAAAATCAAGTCACTTGCTTGGGAATCCAGAGACTCTTGGTTACTGACCTGCTGTATGACCTTAGGCAAATCACTTTACTTTTCTGTTTCATATGTCTATATAGTTTTTTTAGGGTGCAGGGATTTCCCCAAAACTAAGTATTTGTACAGCACCTGGCACAATGAGAGGTAGAAACTATTGCAAAGCAAGGGAGAAAATATTCACTTTCAAATAGTAATAATAATAATAATCATGTGGCAAGGAAGAAAAAGAAACAGTTTATTATAGTTTTCTCCTGTTCCTCTCTTATAGAAAAATCAACATATTTGGGGAGCAGGAGGTAAAAAAGACTTGACATCCCTCCTATCCTATCTAAGGTTAGTATAACCCATTTCAATTTGACATCCTCACTTCTACAACAAGGCAAGTGTAAGGAGAGGGGAAGAGGAATGGAGAAGAGCTATCAGATTACAGGATAGGCATTTTTCCTTTTTGTACATCTTCCCTCCTATCCTATCCTGTCACAAGCAGCACTGCATCATGCTGATGTAGCATGCAGTACAACAGATGTAATAGGGTTTAAATAGAAGATTATAGGATAAATCTGCCAAAGTCAACCCTTTTTCCACTAGGAAGATGATGTGCCTTAGCACAAACTACTTGAAGAACTACAAGCTCAGATGATCGGGTTTTACACTCATATACATGAATTTCACTGACAGCCAGATTTTCAAATGATGATTATCCAGTATTTCCCATTGTGATTCTTATGGACAGATAGTCAGGATAGCTCAGAAAGGTTTTCAATAATCAGTCTGAGAGCATTCTGGAGTCACACTGAAACCAGGTGCTTAAAAAAAAACCCTTTCATTTAGTATCTTGCTTCCATCTGCCTCCAAGTTTCACACTGTGATCCTTTAAAAGGGATAGTCCCTGCATGAAGTACTTACTGGTCTGGCTAGCTCTTCTGAAAACCTGACTACTTATTTTTGAGCCTAAGGGAAGCTGATCTGTTTTTGAAAACTGACTCAAAAGCTTTGGCTGTCTCTACCGTCATTTGCCTGTTCATCTGGAAGTGTGAACTCCTGTTTTATCTGACAGAGTCTTGCCTATAGATCGGCATTAGAAATGTGGCAGTAAAAAAAACTGAAATAATTTTTGGTAGAAATTATTTTCTATTTTACAACAAGATTTATTTGCCACCTTTCAGGTCTGCCTCCTTCAGACACAATCTCCAACATGAGAGAGATGCACAGGGTGATTTTTAACCCTTCTTTACCCCAGATTTATAAATGTTTTGGTTCAGCAAGCAATATTTCCAAACCCACTTGACATGGATAAAAGTGGTATTTGTGCTGGACCTGGAGTATCAAGCAGGGGTAGGGGACAGAAGCATGGAGCCAGAAAGGGTGTCTCAGACTGACTCTGAATCTCCCAGTGAATCCAATCTTACGTGGTCATAGGAAATGGCTGTGAGATCACTCCTGGCACGTCTTGAATGCCTGGGGGTTTCTGAGCATTGCATGGCTGTGTAGGACAGCTGTGGGATTACCCAGATGGGGCTTGATTGCTCCAGGGGACCCGGTGTTGAGCAGCAGCTGATGTTGCTGTGGAGAGCTGAGGGATTGTCCCTAGAAGGGTTTGGCTTTTTTTCCTTTCCCCCACCCCCCAGGCAAGCTGCAGCAGAATGAGAGCTGTGTGTGGTTAAAGCTGCTAGTGAAGGTGAGGTCCCTGCTGGGGTGACCTGGGCAGAAGGGAGGATCAGGGTGGAAAAAACTCCCAGGATCCAGGGGAAAGGAAACAAGTGAATGCAGAGTCAGTCATTAGGGCAGTGAGAGAGAGCTGCAGGTGGCTGAGAAGGGGGAGGAGTGGCAGGCAGAGTTCTGGCAGGGCACGTGCATGTGGCAAGGGGCAGCAGGCAGAGTTCCTATACAGCTGGGGCCAGGGGAAGTAAAGGCAATGGGAAGCTATAGAAGAGAGACAGAGTGGAGGCTTAGGCCCTGTGGATGAGGACTTGCTGGGAAGCAATTCAGGGGTGCAATGTAGCAAAGAAGCGAGGGGTAGATAGTGCAAAGCTCTGGAGCTTAGAACGAGAAAAAAGCAGAATCATTTGCCTGCCAGGAACCCCCACACGATAAGGTTGTACCTGGCTTGGATTTAGTTTTTTTTTTCTTTTACATCATTTTTTCCTCCTCTTTGTTGATTCTGCCTTTACCTGATTTTCTGTGGAAGAGGAAGATGAGGCACTGAGCTAGCTCTTCAGGCTTCTGTAATGCACAGGATATTGTCCTCCCTTGGCAGCTCTTCCATCCATAGTTGACAGTCTGGTACAGACTACTATTGCTACCAGCTAATGGAGTATTCCTTTGGCTCAGGTAGCCAAGTTCTGTGTTTTACAACTGGGTTCAAACTCTGCTGAAAGAAGGATAAAAGTTGCTGGAGAACTGACAGTCCTTTTACCACGGGCCTCCTGCTTGACTGAGGTACCATGAGCCTGGGGCTATGGTTTTTCTTTTGGGATGAGGTATATAGCAAATAGCGAAGGGTCACTGCGGTTACAGCACTGAGTGATGAGAGTAGGGGGGGACTGAACGGATGTCAGTACAAGGCAAGTGGAAGCTATGGGAAAGGGACTAGTAAGAGACAAAATTTAGGTGGTATGGACATCATGAAAGGGCAATTTTGACCTTGATCCAGAAATAAATGAGGAGCCAGTGAAACTCTGGATGAGTTTGATGTGGTGATGCTTTGTGTAGAACAGAGCGAACAGAAGCATCTTATACCTAAAGGGGATTGTATGTTAGGATTTCAGAAGGCCTGTAGAAGAGGCTTGCATTGGTCCAGGAGAGAGAAGATAGAAACATGGATGAGCAGACTGAACTAAGGCAATAGGATGCACAGTATAATAAAAGTGGGAAGAAACAGATTTCCTCAGATAGGGTGAGAGAGATATAGAGTAAAATTGGAATTAAAACTGAGATACGGGTGGTTAATAGTTACAGGAGAGAGAGGGCTATGGATAAGGATTCTCCTGTAGCCCATGCCAGACTTATTTTTAGTTCAAGTTTATCTGGACAGGGCAGAAAGAGAGAATAGCCACAAAGGAGTTACAGGAAGTGTAAAAAGATATGGATAGTTGTGTATCTTTAGCATTATAGATGTAGTTAAAGTGAAAGGTAGAGAAAAGTCAAACAAGGTAATGACAGACAGGCACCTTGTAAGGTCTCTGAGCTTCAGAGACAAGGACAGAGTTACTTGATTAGTAGATGGAGAATCATGTCAGCAGGGCACATGCCAGAAAAAGCTACTCGTACAATTGATACAATAACCAGGCACTCTTCTTATAACTGGAACTGTCCAGGTCAAGCATTGAAGCACTTGGTTGAGTTGTGGTAGTGTTTTTATAATATTTGGTGTGGAGAGAGAACTTCATTCTTTGTTACTAGACAAAACACAAATCATCATTCACTATAAGCTATAGCAGGAGAAGCTCATCACATTTGGATATAGAAATGGCTAGCACCAAACTCTGAGATCCAAATATTCCTTTAAAGCAGTGATAGTTTGGATCTGGATCTCCTCTTTGCATGTCAGTCTGTCTTGCATTCTGTTCCTTTTATCATTTCCAGCTAAAGGGTCTGTAGCCCAATTCCCTGGAAACATGATGTTGATATTAAATTATGCAAACAATAGCCTTTATTTTTATAGATGCTACTCGTGCATCTTTGAAAGTCTTCCCTACAATCAAAACACAAGACTCGCTGCATATGGAAAGGTGTGCTGTTTTGAATGGAATGAGCACATTTCTTTAGTACAGGTTTTACAGCCAAGCTGTCCCAGTGCTTCTCTAAAACTGATTGCTGCCACTTTGTGAAATGTTAGATGACTGCTTCAGAGCCATGCACAAGGCCAGGGCATTCACTGATGATGTCAACAGGCCTTCTGTTTCAGCCAGCTGAGGTAATCAGATAAACTCAGCGTGAAGGAATAAAACTGAGCCAGAAGCAAGGCTAACAGTTAAATGAAGGCTAAGCCTGTATTTTTCAAGGAAGCATAGAAGGCTTATTTGGAAGAGTTTGACTCTGTGGCAAACAGCTCAGGGCAGCTGCACTCAACAGCACATTCAAGCTGCGGAACGGTAAAAAGTAGCTACTTTACCTAATCTTATATTTGTAGGTAGGGACAACAATCTTACACAGAAATACATGCCCATTCCTTCTGATTGGTTGTATACTGAGATATCAATTTAAGGATCACACTTGCAAATGTGTTTATGATTGCACATGCCCAAATAAATAAAAAATATTTTAAACCTCTAGAGCAGTGTCAGTCATACATAATGAACAGTGCATAGAGCTCTTTGAGATATCATTATATTAGTATATTTGAGAAGTCAGTCTATGAGGGCATCAATGAGTGAATAAACTTGGTGAATCATTGTGTATAGACAGAGCTTCAAAATTTATACTGACACGGTCCTGCAAAACTTTAATTTTCACTGTAGGCAGACAAGGCCCCTTTGGTATTTGTAGTGTATGCTATTTTAGAGATGCTAAAGTAATATCCCATGTACAATTTCAACTGTGTATGCTTCATAGATAAAAATCTCAGTGCTAAAATCCAATTTATGAAGGGAAAAGCCCCATTGACTTCAGTGAGAGTTTAATCTGAGAGCATGGATTACAAGATCTGCCCTGATATTTAGACACTAACAACAGCCAAATCCTGCGCTCAGATATATCTAAGCAACCCAGCTCATGCCAGGATTATAAAGGTTCCCGAGGCCTTACAATCTATGAAACCATAACTCTAAGAAGCTGCATAACTTCAGTGGGTTGAACGGAGTTAGGGGAGGTTGGACTTTGGCCCTAATAATTTCTACTGCCCAATCAAAACTAAACTTATCTGAAGGGCGAATGGGCTGTGTGCTCTAATAGGAAGCAACCAACAACATTATTTTGATACTTGTTATATTTAGCTTTGCAATTTGTTGTCCATCCTTAGCATGCTGTTGTGTTAAATTCAGAAGTCATCATGAAAGGAAAGCAATAAGGTTAGGAAAAGTAGAGCTTCCTTTTACAAGAAATTCTGCACTTATATCTATTTTAGAGGGTTTTTTATTTAGTCTTTTTAACCTCTTTAATCAGAGGCAGTCTCTGGTCTCTTGAGAATTGCTCTACATTTCAATGCCAGAGAGTTTGAGTCATATTGCAGCAAGTTAGTGAAGACTGTTCTTACTGGAAAAGAATATTGATTGTCTTAGCTAGGCATGAACAGTCTTTCTCTCTCTCCTCTCTTAATAAAGGAGAGAAAAAGAGACTGGACCAAAGCTGATGGCATATTTACCTTCATGAGTTTTAAAAAAAAGTTAATTACTGCTTGGAGCAAGTTGGTATGGCTGTCCTGAGCTGTCTTTTATTAGTAGTCCCCTTCATTAATTTCCCTCGCTGGATTTGCTGCTAATAGCTGCTTGGTTCCAGACAGCACAAAGCAGCATCTGTGCCATTGAGCAGAAAAGCGGGAGTCAGGCAAAGGGGGGTGGGGGGAGACGCCGTTTACAAATCAACCCTTATTAACATGATGGCCTACTCTAGGGGGACTGCATCTCCAGGCCTCTGGTATCAAGCGCAGCAGTTTGGACTTCAGCTTTACTAATATCAGCTCCTGAACGAAGGAAAGAAACAAAACCACTTCTTGCATGGCCATGCAAGTTATGCAGCTCAGCTGACTGTTAACATCGTTGGACTCATTATCTTGGTCGATGGTTGCTTTTCTTTTTTCCTTTTGGGAGAGGGGTGATTAAATGGTTAAGTACAATAAAGCAGATGCAATAATAAATTCATGTTTGAACAATATGATAATCAGTGATGCCTGATGACAAAAAAGCAGGCCTTCAATTGTCTCGTTTTTGTATAAGAGTGATGGGAAAGACAATAAATTTTGGGAAACAGTTCGACCAGTTACTGTTATGGAGCCAAATCTTAGTCAGGGCCAGATTCCAATAAGTTTTCCTGCAGAGTAGCACCTGACTGCAGTAGTGAGCTCTCGGAAGAGAATGGGACTAGGCCCTATGTGGGATGCTGCTTAGGGAATAAAGGTATCAGAATCTGGCACTCTGTTTTTAATAAGACATTGCACAAGCAACCCTTCTATTGCATCCTGTAACTCTATAGCTTCACATCTTTAAACACTGTATTTTGTATGACCAGACATGTGCGACTGGATTGTTTATTTGTCCCATGAGTGGGACTGTGACCTATAACGCTGAAGTCTAAGACTCAGGTGAACTCAAACATAGTAGAGGCTAGGCCCACTTCACATGGGCCCTTATAACCCCACCCCAAATTGTGGCAATAGATTCTTTTGCAATGGCTCCCCACAGCTGGGGTTGGCAGCAACTATGAGAATTAAGATGAATGGGGAAGTTCACACCTTTAGAAACAGTTTCAGGCTGCCTTCAGATTGTGGCAGGCTGTGCTTACGCTTGGCCCACTTTCAAGTTTTCTTTTCATTCATGCTAGCTAGAGACTTAATCTTTAGATGAAAGCTGAGAGTCTCATCTCACCAGGTGATGAGGCATATGGAGTGCCCAACATGTACAATATAGCCCTAGGCTGAGTAAGTATGGTCAATGGGGAAACTTATTAGTAGCCCAGTGACTGTCTGCTACAATAGGTATTAAATTTAAAACAAGAACCTTAACTGTAATCCATAAAAAAGAAATGTTTGTGGGCTGTATTATAAATGTTATTCCAGTTTAAAAATAGTTCAGGATAAAAGGATGGGTTGAAATGAGATTTAAAAAGCAGTAAAAAAAGTTAACATTTTCTTAATATCTTTGCTTAAATGGAAACAAGGGAAATTTAGACTTGATATTAGGAAGAACTTTCAAACCATGAGGATGGTTTCACTGGGACAGATTTCCTACAGACAGTGTGGAAGTGGTTGGAAGCTTTTAACTGCAGGTTGGACAAATGTTTGTTTGCAGTGATTTATACAGGAATGATCTTACCTTTAGCAGGGAGAATCAGACTAAATGATCTCTTAAAGACCTTATTTCTCTATGATTTTTAATGGCAAAAAGTCAGGCTATGTGACCCGGAAGAACTCTGTGTGTGCTATCGAGCACCTCCCTGAAGGTTTTACTGTAGCATTTCATGAAGTATTACACTTTCTTCCCTTTTCTATTTTAAGGGGTAATATTTGGGGCAGCAACACAAGAAAGAGGTCAGCTATGATTTCTTCCTAACTCCTCCTTGTTTATGATGGGCATGGAAATCTGGTACTTGTCTACACAAGCAGCAAATTACTACCAGGCTTGAGGTGGATCAGCTGTGCCACAGCCCTCACAGCTCCCCTCTTATTTTACTTGCTTTGGGTAGATGAACAGAACAGCACATGTACAGCAATAA